GATCACCCGGGACAGAGCACGCCGCACCATTACCCTGACTCAGTCACACATGGTGCAGCAGGTCCTTCAGCGCTTCGGCTTCACGTACTCCTTGCCTCAGGCCACTCCTCTGCCTACTCGCCACTCGCTCTCAGCTCTCCCTTCGGATGAGTCCGTAGAGTCGAGTGGCCCGTATCCAGAGCTTGTTGGCTGCCTCATGTACCTGATGACCTGCACACGACCTGACCTTGCATACCCTCTTAGCATTCTCGCACGCTATGTTGCTCCTGGGAGACACCGACCAGAGCACATGGCTGCAGCGAAGAGGGTGTTGCGCTACTTGTGCAGTATGTCGGGCATGGGGCTAGTGCTTGGAGGGCGTAGTCTAGTGGTCCTCACTGGGCACGCGGACGCTTCTTGGGCTGACGACCAGGCTACGCAGCGGTCGTCACAGGGTTACACCTTCAGCCTTGGTTCCGGCTCTGTTTCGTGGCGGGCTACTCGCTCGTATCCTGTTCTCGGCTCCAGTTGTGAGGCTGAGATCTACGCAGGGGCCATGGCTGCACAGGAGCTTCGCTGGCTCACCTACCTGCTGACCGACCTTGGAGAGCCGCCTCGTTCTCCTCCAGTCCTGTACGTAGACAACAAGGCCATGCTGGCCTTGTGTCGAGAGCAGAGACTGGAGCACAAAACAAAGCACATTGCTCTTCGCTACTTCCTTGCTCGTGAGCTACAGCAGCGTGGTCAGTTGCGGCTTGCGTACGTGGCCTCTGAGGCCAACACTGCTGATGTCTTCACCAAGGCACTTGCGCCTTGTGATCATCAGCGCTTCTGCACACAGCTGGGTCTTGTGCCTGTCTTGCATCACCTCTTGACCTTGCTTGTACTGTTGCATATATATACACCGGCTCTTGCTTGTCTAGTCCTTTCTATATATGTACTCCTGCATGTGAACTGGCCTTGTGGCCTTGAACTTGTGCTCAGAATGTGTGGTAACTTTGTGATCCACCCTGAGCTTTTTTGTTTTGCTTTGCTTGACTGGTCTTGTGACCCCTTGTTCTCCCCCACTTTGCCTATGGGTGTGTGTCAGAACATATAGCTTGTGCTTATTGTGTAGGCTATAGTGGGGTAGCCCACAAGGGGTACAACCCAATTAGGGTTAGTACTTGTACTCAGTTCATTCATAGTTCATTCATTCTCATTCTCAATTTCTCAGCTACTTGAGTGATAGGCGGAGCTTGTACACCACTCCACCGTGAATTTCGGAGTCCATTCGGTAGACCCCCGAAAGGGTTTGATATCGTTACATGGAGGCGCGGCAAGGGGTGTATTGCCAAGGATGCCTGGGATTTGCTGAGTATTTTCGACAGGTACGAAGATGGGTGAACGTCGGAGTACCAGGGTTAACGGCGGAAATGTCGGGGCTACAAGGCAGAAAATACTTCGGGGCTTGATTCCTCAACCACGATTTTCGGGTGACAATTCGACGGTGGGAGACGGGTGAATGTCTACTCGCCAGTTGTTTTAAGCTTCATAGTGTACTTCAAGAGTTTACCTGGGGTAAGTTCAACGGCGAGATCTCTCAGAATCCCAACCACTAGACCATTGGGATAAAAGGGCTTGTTTCAGTAGCGGGTCAGTGCGCCCACAACCCCCCAGGCAATCGTGCCTGTAACCCTTCCCTAGGATCGATCGGGGATCACCAGTGGACCTCTGACACCCCCCCGCACTGGGATGTCCGAAGTGCATACACCGGGATTCGAACCCGAGACCTTTGCTCTGGATACCATCTCAGAATCCCAACCACTAGACCATTGGGATAAAAGGGCTTGTTTCAGTAGCGGGTCAGTGCGCCCATAACCCCCCAGGCAATCGTGCCTGTAACCCTTCCCTAGGATCGATCGGGGATCACCAGTGGACCTCTGACAAGATCAACGGCGTTGATGCGCGCTAGGGTCCGTGAAAATCGGTCTCAAAAGACCCATAAGTACTGGGTTCCACGCTGAAAAAACACCTCCTGTTGGTGGGTAGCTTGGGTGGTTAACCGTACGGAAAAAAATGGTGACCGGGTGGGCGTGCTAGAAACACCGGTTCTTTCGGGGGGCAACCTGCATGCGACCAAGACTTTACGTGGGGTGAAAATTTCCGACATTTACGGGTGCAACGAGCAGTTCCGAAAAGAGTTTTAACGGAGTCAGCGGGGTCGCTGACAGTATCCGTGCCGACGGCCGACTGCAGCGTCGCTTGATTAAGCTCGCGAAGGTGAGAAGAAACGAGAATGATTGAACTATGAAACAGTTGGGTACAAGTACTAACCCTAATCGGGTTGTACCCCTTATGGGCTACCCCACTACAGCCTACACAAATGTATAAGCTATAATGTTCTGACACACCCCCATAGGCAAAGTAAGCATGGGCATTTGACCCGGACGGGTCGGGTCAGGAATGCTGAGAAGGCCGACCCGCCCGGGTCGGGTCGGGAAAACCCGGACGGGTCGGGTCGACCCGTGACCCGTCACTGTGATTTAGTGACGGGTTTTTGCGACCCGCCGGGTCGGGTTGACCCGTCCCGTCCGGGTCGCGTACCCAGTCAAATGACAGGGTTACCCGACCCGTTATCGGATTAGGGTAGGGGTTGAACATCGGTTGGTTTTTTAGGTTTTTTTTCCCTCGACATTCTGATCTAGTCGCTAGACTAGATCAAGGCTAGTACTTCTGCGCTGCAGCTAGGGAGCCTCATACAGTCTTCACTCTTCAATGTTAGCACTATTTAAACTGCATATTATCTTCAGGTTAGGGTTTGGCACTCCGACCCGACCCTGCTGCTATGTAGCATATTTTGATCCGACCCGACCCGACCCGTGGTGTAACCGACCCGGTAACGGGTCACAAATACCCGTTCCCACGGGGCGGGTCGGGTCACCAAAACAGAGTCAAACCCGACCCGCTAACCCGACCCGACCCGACACGTTAAGCTAACGGGTCGCCCTCAACGGGACGGGTCGGGCCGGGTCGGGTCAAATGCCCATGCTTAAGGCAAAGTGGGGGAGAACAAGGGGTCAGAAGACCAGTCAAGCAGAGCAAAGCAAAGCAAGCTCAAGGTGGATCACAAAGTCACCACACATTCCGAGCACAAGTTCAAGGCCACAAGGCCAATTCACATGCAGGAGAACATATATATATATATAAGGCTAGACAAGCAAGAGCAGGAGTATATATATATGTAATAGTACAAGCAAGGCCAAGAGGTGAGCAAGTGAGGCAAGGCAGGCACAAGACCCAGCTGAGTACAGAAGCGCTGATGATCACAAGGCGCAAGTACCTTGGTGAAGATATCAGCAGTGTTGGCCTCAGAGGCCACGTACGCAAGCCGCAACTAACCACGCTGCTGTAGCTCACGAGCAAGGAAGTAGCGAAGAGCAATGTGCTTTATTCTGTGCTCCAGTCTCTGCTCTCGACACAAGGCCAGCATGGCCCTGTTGTCTACGTACAGAACTGGAGGAGAACGAGGCGGCTCTCCTAGGTCAGTCAGCAGGTATGTGAGCCAGCAAAGCTCCTGTACAGCCATGGCTCCTGCGTAGATCTCAGCCTCACAACTGGAGCCGAGAACAGAAGACGAGCGGGTAGCCCGACACGAAACAGAGCCGGAACCAAGGCTGAAGGTGTAACCCTGTGACGACCGCTGCGTAGCCTGGTCGTCAGCCCAAGAAGCATCTGCGTGCCCAGTGAGGACCACTGGACTCCGCCCTCCAAGCACAAGCCCCATGCCCGACGTACTGCACAAGTAGCGCAAAACCCTCTTCGCTGCAGCCATGTGCTCCGGTCTGTGTCTCCCAGGAGCAACATAGCGTGCAAGAATGCTAAGAGGGTATGCAAGGTCAGGTCGTGTGCAGGTGATCAGGTATATGAGGCAGCCAACAAGCTCTGGGTACGGGCCACTCAACTCTACGGACTCATCCGAAGGCAGAGCTGAGAGCGAGTGGCGAGTAGGCAGAGGAGTGGCCTGAGGCAAGGAGTACGTGAAGCCGAAGCGCTGAAGGACCTGCTGCACCATGTGTGACTGAGTCAGGGTAATGGTGCGCTGTGCTCTGTCCCGGGTGATCTGCAAGCCAAGGTAGCTGCGCAGTTCACCCAGGTCGGTGCACGTGTGTCTCTTCTGCAACCCGGACTTCACGTGGGCGAGTCCAGCAGTGTCAGCTGTGGCAAAGACCAAGTCGTCGACGTACACGAGGATGTAGAACGGCGGCAAAGAAGTGTCGGAGCGCAGAAACAGCGACGGGTCGGTAGTAGAGGGAGCAAACCCAAGAGCCGCAAGCGTAGTCCTCAGTGTGTCGTGCCACTCACAGACGGAATATTTGTACGCGAAACATGCAAACGGTAACGTGGTGCGTGCGAGCTAGCTAGTGTTACGCTGGCAGCGAGGCTCGGGCTAGTCCCGAAGCGTAAGCCGACACGGCCGGGCCAGTAGTGCGAGGTTTGGCAAAAGAGTGCGCGCGAAGTTGGCGAAGTCCTGTTAGCAGTAACGGGCGAACAACGGCTGTTGCTGTACGCGATGTAGTCGGGCTCTGTAAGGAATGCCGAGAAAATTCCTTAGAGAGCGGTACAAATGAATATGCTCTAATAAAGATGGATATACATTTAGGAGCACTAACTTGAAAGTGGGAACCTCGACATGATTTGGGTTCAGGCTAAGTCAAGTTCCAACACAGGTCTGCTGAAAAAAAATTCTATATGTAGGATTATTCCCGGCTGAAATGTAATAAAACCTCATTCGAAGATACCACCTATCTTCTATCCTACCGATGACCAAGTGAAGCCCACACCACACTACATCGTGCAGAGACACATAGGCCACCGGTAGCAGGACATGTTGCTTTGGCAGCGCTATAGTACCGTAAGTAATTCCCTCACAAGGTTGATTGCTGCCTAGTGCTACGAAACCCCTTCACCTGCATTTGCTCTAGAACCTGTGATCCCCGGCGCATGGCTAGAAACACTAGCTGCAATTCCACCTTGGCCTGCTAGTGTTGATCCAAGAAGGCCAGATCCTCTTCCATGCTCCTCACAGGGCGCTGACTCTCCAGCAGCTCATCCACCCTTGCTGCAGCGCTTGCTCTCACATCCCACCCTCCCGCCTCCCCTCTCACCGCCTCCAAGTCTTGGGCCACGCGGGACATGGAGGGGCGGGAGAAAGCGCGCATGGCAGTGCAGCTCACAGCCAGCTGGGCAAGGCGATGGATGATGTCATCTGGTGCTTCCAGGCGCGGGTCCCGGAGAAGTGATGTCTTTCCACATGCCATGAGACCCGATGCCTGTGTCAGTGACAGTAGTAATGGCGAGTGCAAGCATTACAATGGCAGGTAGAGGCTAACAGGAAGAACAATAAGGAATTATTCATCGACGGATTTAGTAAGGAGATACTCGGCAATGGATATAGTTAGGAATTATTCAGAGATGGATTAACATAGGTGAAAGCAAGGTACACACCCAAACGGAAATGGAGACTGGTTCCTGGTTGCTCAAGTCACCTATCTCACTGCTCGGACTCTCGTCCACAGTGGCTCCTCTGCCTGACAGCATCACCAGCATCAGAGTGCCAAAACTGAAAGGAAGGAAACCAGGTTGTGCAAAATAAAGGGAGACCGTATGTTGCAGATTCTTGCAAGGGGCAGCTTAGATTTGTCCCACACATGAAACAAGAAGCATGCAAAGTGGGACATACGTGGGTGTACATTCCCCCCTGGTTTACATTTGTATGATGATTTTATTCTGTGTTGTTGAAGGATGGATTTTCTACTAATACTCATTCACTTGCATAAGGGTTCATCAAAGTAATTACATACACACTTGGCAATCGCAACCTTGACATGACATTACTTCTGAAAAATAGCCTTGACATTGTAGGCATATTTTGGTGGAAGAGCATATCAGTCCAATTGTCCTCTGCAAACCAACAAGCTAGGAGATTTAAAAATTATGTTTAAGTCTTCAATGTATATGCGCCCCTTGCACCAACTTTATGTTATTTGGGAACCCCTCTCCTGCTGCTCCTCCCGCTCAAGCATATGAATTTCTTGACGCGCCGCTCCCTCTCAATTGGTCAACCCAAATCTAATTACCTTCACTCCCCAAGCTTGTTTTGCGATTTCCTTGCTTATCCGTCAACATATCCTTCTAGAGGTCTTCGCAGCAATCTAGTATGTTGCGCTTCTATCTATAACCCTTGATATGCTTCTCAATTATCAGTCTAGGCTCACTCTATTTTGTTCAGTGAAAAGAAACATGCAGTGTGGTTGGTTGGGTTTCTGCAGATTATGTTGTGAACTGGATATATCAAACCTTGACTGAAACCCTAGCTTTGGGTTCGGTTGGTTCTCCATCCCAGCCTTTATGCCTTGTAGTTTGCCTATGCCAATTAATTCAATCGAGCTGCTGGCATGAGCATTTGGCCTGGCCCGACCCGGCCCGACCCGAATTGGCCGGGCCAAGCGGGTTTCTGGACCGGGTCGGGTCGGGCAAGCCTCAGGCCAGGATGTTGAACACCCTGACCCGACCTCGGGGCGCCCGCGCTCTGCGTAGATCTGGGATTTGGCCTGCCGATCTGCGCAGATCGCGATTTAGTTGGCGAAGCAGTGCAGATCGTCAATTTCGCTAACCGATTTGGAGATTGGGATTTTTGCCTATGATTTACTCACCCTGGCACTTGTTTCCAACAAATATGTTGGACAATTCGACAACCAACATGTCCAACCAATTTGCCACTGCTCACCACTCCTTACCGCAATGATCTACAATTCCCAACTCACCCCCCCTCCCCCCCTCCCTCCCCTCCCCCCCCCCCTCCTACTCTTGTCAAATCTCTCGACATTGAGCCTCTGCACATAGACGGCTATTACTTGCATAGAAACTAGGAATTCTGGGCTGAAGGTTAGAAGTTAGGTTGCGGGGAATGATGTCGAGGGGAAGAATGTCCGCTCGACATCGACTTGGTTGGTTAGGGTTTCCGCATCCCCCTGTGTCCGACCCGATTTCCCAGTTCCTGACCCAAATACGGGTCGGGTCAACACGGGCCAAAAGCCCGGCCCGACCCTGTTAACGGGAGTTGGGTGTTGGCCCTGTCCTCCCGACTTTGTGGTCGGGTGTGCGGGAGTTGCAGCCGACCGTCTGCAGCGGGCGATGCCGACTTGGGCGAGCGGATCGACGGACGTAGTCAACCTGCACGGGGCCACTGCGAAGCCGCCGACGACTGGAGCCGGCGGCCGACTTCAACTGGGAGGTCGACGAAGGGACTTGTCGACCTGGGAGGGGCGCCAACCTTGGGGCGCCGACTTGAGGGTGCCGACCATGGGAGGCCGACTTGGCGAAGTCGGCGGACAGCTTCGACATGGTCGACGAGGGGTTTCGTCGACCTGCAAGGACACCGACTTGTTTTAGTCGGCGGGAAGTGTCGACCTGCGTGGTCGACGACCAAGTACAGCTGTTGGTTGACTTCGGCTGCTCAAGTCGACGCAGACTTGGTGGTAACCAGGTCGACCGAGTTAAAAGGGCGACGAGGTTCTGCGGAGGTGCGCGATCGTTGCCCAGGAGGTTCTGGCACCGCCAGGCTCATCAGGCGTCGTCATCAGCACGTGGACGACCTGGCACTTGCGCCATGCACATGACGGTGCACGTCGCACCAACCGTCTACAAGAACCTGCAAAGCTGATGCGCGCATGTGCACTGCTTACACCTGCGCATGCAACGCTGGACAGCCGCCTTGCTGCAGCGTTGGCAAGCCGTCGACTTGCTATGTTGGCAAGCCGTCGACTTGCTACCTTGGCAAGTCGCCACTTTGCAGTGTTGGAGTGCGGTCGACTTTGCGGTGCTGGCAGGTCGCCAACTTTGCGGCGTTGGTGGTCGACCTGCCTGTGTGCTAGGCAATTTTGCATTTGATACAGTCAGTGTTGATTTGCCTTTGCTAACCATTGTGTAATTCTCTTACTAGTGAAACTCTTGTCGTTTTTGCCCCGTGAACACGCACTTGCTAGAGAACACAAGGAGCAATACTGTCACACTTACAACCCGTGTCAACCGCGTAGTCCAGCTCCCACCGTTGTAAAGTGAATCTCCGCAAACCCGGCCTGAGTTCCCTACTTGGGTTGGGTTTTAGGCCGGGCCAACCCGCCCGGGGCAGGCTATTGAAACCCCTGACCCGACCCAGGCAAAATCAAGGGTCGTGTCGGGCCGGCCCGACCCTCGCGGGCCTCTTGCTCATGCCTAATCCAGCATTGAGCAATTTTTTCCGTCGCTTCGTTACGTTCTGAAGTTTATAGGTTAGCCATTATTACTTAGTGCTTACATGTTTAGAGTCAGTGGAGGTATTGTCATGCCTGTACATATACACATCAGCGTGTCATCTGTACACACCCACATGGCACCTGTACACACGACCATGGCCCTTACACAGGCTATGAGTCGTTTTATCAACCATCATCCCACCCATCCACAACATCATCATACCTGCACACAACAGCATCACACGTGTACACGTCAGCATCACACCTGTACACATCAACATCACACCCTATAAACAATCGCATCACACCTGTACACATCAGCATCACACCTATAAACATCAGCGTCACAACTATATACATCAGCATCACACCTAGACACATCAGCATCACACGTGTACATATCAGCACCACACCTGATCATGTTCACAGCAGTACACGTCAGCATCAGACCTGTAAACATCAGTGGCGGTGATGGTCTTGTTTGTCCGGGAGTACACAGGGTCCACATACCCCACCGTTCCCAGCACTCGTGTATAGCCCATTGGAGTGCTGTCCCCCTCACGCACCAGTCCAAAGTCAGCCACCTTGGCCTGGAGAGGACAGGCAACAAAAATCAGGAAAGAGGCACTGCGGGGTTCATTCGGTTGCATCATGAATTTTCTTTAGAATTATCAAAGAACATATTCAGGTTGCATCATGTGCGCCGGGACTTGTTGGAATCGACCTTCCAACATCCTGCCGAAGTAATGCCAACAGCACACCAGTGTGAAAGAATGCCGGTATCACGTGAAGTGAAAGAGGTTCAAAAGACTCTCTGCCAGGCCTTGAACAAGATGTTTCGTCAACCCATCACAACCGCACCTGCATGTGAGCATCAATGAGGATGTTGGCTGGCTTGATGTCCCGGTGCACGATGCCAAAGCTGTGGAGATACTCTAACCCACGTGCCACCCCTAGTAAGATGTTCACCCGCTGCAGTAGAGTCAGACTTGTGGGCGCATCTGGAATGGAGAATGGTAGAGGCGAGGCAAGGCGTCATTAGAGATGCTGACCCTTGGATAGAATCGGTCATACCACAATCCCCCGGATAAAGGTCTTCGTTTTCTTACATTGCCCTATAATGTGGAAGAACCCACACTGCCACGATGTATTCAATTGCGAAAATCACCAAGAATTTGGTAGGGGCTTGAAATACAAAAAATACTCTATTGCCCCTTTTGCTCATGTTAAGCCCCGGGCGAAAATAAAGGAACACCCCTATCCGGCGGAATACTCGCATTTGTAATGTAGACAAAGAGAAGCATGTTTAGAAATGCTGAAAGGTTCTATAAACAAATAGTAAATTGTAATGATGGAAACAAGCAAAACATTGAGGTAAAGTAGGTAGAGAGTGAAGGAAAATAGCTTAGAGACGATAAGGGCTGGTCCAGGTGAGGAATTTGGTACCCAAGGGACTTGGGGTGGCCAAATGGTTGCTCAAGTCGCCCACAATCAAGATGGGGACGTGAGGGACCCTCAAAGTGGGCCTGGAAAAGCCCCTTCTGGTGGAACCGCGATTCTACAAATTGGAAACTCGAATTCCAATAACGGAATTCGTGGGTTCAGGCTGGAGTTGCGTTCCCAAAGTTGGGAGACGTGGTGAGGTGCCCAAAGCCAGATTTGGAATGCCTAACACGTTTTAATATCACTTGGGCAGCACCCTATAAGTAACTAATATAACCTAACCCCTGGTGTCTACACTGCTAAAATGTAAACGGATATATAAAATTAATAAAGAAACTATTGAAATAAACCTCGAACGTACCTGAAGGATAACGAGTACCCAATAACATAATTTATCGCGTGGGACTAGGGACAAGCACAGGGCGAGGGACTAGACAAGCTTGGTTGGATCAATAGCCTTCTCAACTGTACCTTGCCCAATCCATTGCTGGAGGTCGCCATTGGCAACGAACTCATAAATGAGGACATTTTCCACCCGCGTGTTCACATCACCACCCACTGCAAACCCCAGCAGCCGCACCAGATTGGGGTGGTGCTTCGTGGCCATTTGAGCCACCTGTGGGCAGGCAAAGGAAGGAAGGGGAGGAGGGGGGAGGGAGGAGGAGGAGGAGGAGGAGGAGGAGGAGGAGGAGGAGGAGGAGGAAAAGAGAGGGTTTGGTCATCCTTCCAGAATGGCTCTGATTTAATCAGAATCGACATTCTTATGGACCCATAGAGTCGAATAGTTCTCTATGTAAAGCTTATGACATATCATTCGATCCTTGATGGCCACTGCCAAAACTCCACCCCACCCTGCAGCTTCGACCCAGCCCCAGCCCATCCCATCCCTCCCATCTCGCCCACCTCTCTGTGGAAGTCAGTGGTGATGACTTTGGCGCGCTTCACGGCCCACAGCGTGGTGCCATCCTCGGGGCACACCCCGCGGTACACGTCTCCATACGCGCCCGACCCAAGCAGGCACTCCTTGGACCAGTTGTTGGTTGAACGAGCCACCACAGCCAGCGAGTACTGCCGGCACGGCGTGGGTGCGTTCTGCAAGCCAGAGAGTGCGGCTGCATTGACGATGGTGAGTTTGGGTGAGGTGGGGGTGGGAGAAGGGGTGGAGGGAGAGCAAGGAAAAGGCGAATTTTGAGTCGACTCAAAAGGGGTGGACGGAGAGCAAGGAAAAGGCGTGGCGTTGAGTTGGACGAAACGATTGGATGAACGAGTATCACCAGAAGCACAAAGTAGAGACTATAAGGTTGATGTAACCGTGTTTTTTTGCCTTCAGGACGAAAAGGGGATGGTGCTTGTACTCGCCGTCATTTAGTGGAAACTGGTGGCATGGCATGGCATGGCATGGCATGCAAGGAAGGATGATACCTCTGTTGGAGGCTCTGGTGCGTGCGGCAAACCACCAAGCAGAGGCGAGCACGAGCAGCAGCATCAGGACGGTTGCTGCCACAATGGCGATGATAGCTCCCACGGACAGGCCGGAGGGGGAGGAGGCGTCAGGGGGGGAGGGCGACGAGGGGGGCGAGGAGGATGGGGTTGGAGGGCTGCTGAGTCTAGTGGGTGGTAGGGGCGGCGGCGATGGAGGAGGAGAAGCCACGGTTCTTGGTGGGGGAGCTGAATAGGGCGGCACACATGCATGCACATGCACATACACGCAGAAAGGACAGATTCAGGCCTTTCGTGCAATGTGCACGATGCAAGTATCCATGCAGGCCCTAAGCTTGCATAAATACACACATATGGTATGAAATAACTAGCAAAGATTGGCTTTGATTGGCAAGGACTAGTACTCTGAGTGTAACAACCTCACCTGTGTGAGTTGTACACGTCGTACAGAAGCTCTTGCACTGCCGGCAGAAGGCACTTGCATTGGACTGGCGAACCACACAGCTGCCAGCATCTGGGGGACATGTAAAACCCGACATTGATATGTTGCTGCTTGAGGGGGCAGGTGGGGGAGGATGGAGGGAGTGGAATCACGGAGACAGAAGATTGCGAAGAGAAAATGAAACGAAAAAAATGAGGGAAACAGTTACAAGGGCACGGGGAAGGAGGGTGTGATGGCCACATTCCGTGGAGGCAGAGAGAGGGCAGCGGGGTGAATGTGAATGACACACGTTGGTGCACAGGGCAGAATGACACACGTTGGTGCACAGGGCAGAATGACACACGTTGGTGCACAGGGCAGAATGACACACGTTGGTGCACAGGGCAGAATGACACACGTTGGTGCACAGGGCAGAATGACACACGTTGGTGCACAGGGCAGAATGACACACGTTGGTGCACAGGGCAGAATGACACACGTTGGTGCACAGGGCAGAATGACACACGTTGGTGCACAGGGCAGAATGACACACGTTGGTGCACAGGGCAGAATGACACACGTTGGTGCACAGGGCAGAATGACACACGTTGGTGCACAGGGCAGAATGACACACGTTGGTGCACAGGGCAGAATGACACACGTTGGTGCACAGGGCAGAATGACACACGTTGGTGCACAGGGCAAAGTTGGCTAGAGGGAACGACTGGCAACAACACAACCACAATAAAGGGTACGTGAAGTACAAGGGAACAACACATGGTACAAAGAGCAAACCACAGATGGACAGTGCTTACAGATAGGTGAGAGCTCTCAAGCTGGCAAGAGAAGCAGGTATGTGCCCCGTGAACTGGTTCTCACCGAAGCTCCTGCCATGCAATGAATGTGCAGTCGGGATAGAACACCAGGAACCAGTTTGGGTCGAATCAGAGCCATTGTGAAAGGATAGCCAAACCCACTGTTTTCCTCCTCTATCTGCTTGCCTTGGCTGCAGTAAATATTCCAATTACCAAGATCAGCAAGTAGCAGCCCTAATTATATCTATGAATTCGTAAAAAAAAATAGCGGATTTTATGTTGATTGAAACATTAATCTATGGTTCCACTCATCACTACCCAATAGCTTGACTCTGTCCCAGGCCTTCGGAGCTCCACTACCTCCTGCACTGCACCTGTTCTGTTGCTGTAGGGAGGATACTGCCTGCCACCTACTGTCATCGCCCAGGTAGTAGACAGATATGCCTGCCACCTACTCTCATCTCATACTGCTAAAAAAACTGGCAGTTTATCTTGTAAACGGAAACGATTGTATCCCTTGCACAAAGGGCACAAGTGTATTTGGCACACATGCAATACATGAACACTCACAGCTCATTGATTTTGGACATCCCTAAGACCCAAGCTGGAAAGGATCCCCTTAGCCTGTTGTTGTTAAGACGCCTGAGGTGTAAATAGAGTTCACCAGATCGAACATTCAACACGACATCGCCTTATTTGTCAATCGATGATGCAGAGAGAGGCAACACGAAAGTCAATGAATGTACACAAGAAAGAATACAACAACAGGCCACCAATGATATGGTGCGTCCTATTTCTCTCTCTCTCCAATTCCTATCCCTCCGTAAAGATGCCATACATGCCCCTCACAGCACCATGCTCCTAAGGCGGCTGGTGCCGGCATCTCACAGGAATATGAGGTCAGTGAGGCGCGACAGGCTGTTGGGGATTGTGCCAATCAACCGGTTGTCTGCAAGGTCCCTGCGAGTTCATGGCAGGCACGCAGGCACTGGCAACACAGCATGTCATGGAGCCACATGGAAGGGAACGAAATCGGACAAGCCAAGCAGGTCTAGCTGGCAAAGCTATCAAATATGTACCTTGAGAAGTTCCAAACGCGGCATCCCAAATTGCAGCGTATAACGTATTTTCGCAATTGCGTAGTTCCCATGGTTACAGCCCATAATCGAATTACAGAGTCCCGAAACGAATGCAAGTAACTCATGTGGCATGCCCTTACAATGAGTGATGCCATTTGACCAAACGAACTCCCTTATGCTCTTAACTGCTCTCCGCCAACAGCACCTCCCGATTTGCCTCTAGCTCCAACGGGGTTTCTGGATTCTGCTGATATGCTCTTGCCTATTTCGGGCTTACTTGTTTGCACAGACAAAGCAAGCAGTGGGCTGAGCGATCTCACAAGGAGGTGATGTACTTCATATTGCCGATGCCCTCCGGGATGCTTCCCACTAGCTGGTTCTCCGGCAAGCCCCTGCAGTTTCGTTACCAAAGCCAATCCACCACCACAATATCTATGGATGGGTCCTTTAACAAGAAGAGTAGAGGAAATTTAGACAAGTTCATAACATACTTATTCTTAAAGAGCATCAGTATAGTGTGATGATCTGAAGATCACAGCTCACTGAGAGAGAGTTTTGAGATGTCTCATAAGTCCGTATACAGTGCGATAATCTAAATCTCACAGCTCGCTGAGCTTGGTAAGGCTGCCAATGGACTCGGGAATTGTGCCTGAGAGGCTGTTATACCACACAGAGCTGTGTGTTGCATAGGGTAGGGAACAGGGTGCAGTGGAGATAAGATGGGATGATGGGCATGCGCACATGTGATGGGCATGTGCACATGTGATGGGCATGCGCACATGTGATGGGCATGCGCACATGTGATGGGCATGCGCACATGTGATGGGCATGCGCACATGTGATGGGCATGCGCACATGTGACAGGCATGCGCACATGTGATGGGCATGCGCACGTGTGATGGGCATGTGCACATGTGATGGGCAAGAGGCGGCAGGCTCAGGGTGTCAATGGAAGGTTGACAAGACGTTGAGGGTTACAAGACGTTGAGGGTTAGAAGACGTTGAGGGTTACAAGACGTTTGAGGGTTACAAGACGTTGAGGGTTACAAGACGTTGAGGGTTACAAGACGTTGAGGGTTACAAGACGTTGAGGGTTACAAGACGTTGAGGGTTACAAGACGTTGAGGGTTACAAGACGTTTGAGGGTTACAAGACGTTGAGGGTTACAAGACGTTGAGGGTTACAAGACGTTGAGGGTTACAAGACGTTGAGGGTTACAAGACGTTGAGGGTTACAAAACGTTGAGGGTTACAAGACGTTTGAGGGTTACAAGACGTTGAGGGTTACAAGACGTTTGAGGGTTACAAGACGTTGAGGGTTACAAGACATTCAGGGTTACAAGAAGACGTTGATGGTTACAAGATTTTAAGGTTGATGGTGCTGCCAATGGACTCTGGTATGCTCCCAGTGATGCTGTTCTGAGCAATGTTTCTGCAACACAACACAGCACACAAGCTCAGCGAGCTGTGAGAACCACAAAGAGGGTTCGTGATGTGTGCGCGTGTGACGGGTGTGTGCACGTGTATCTTTCTGCACCGCACGTGTATCTGTCTGCACCGCACGTGTATCTGTCTGCACCGCACGTGTATCTGTCTGCACCGCACGTGTATCTGTCTGCACCGCATGTGTATCTGTCTGCACTGCACGTATATCAAAGAGCTACCCTCACAAGCGCAGCCTCCAGCACGACACGCTCTCTTCCTCGGCCCGCCGAATCAGAGTGAACGCACAGGTGGGTGAGCTTGGTGCGACCAGATATCCAGAAGGGAAATGGGCCCTCTAAATCCATCATGAAGAGATTGCTGCACACACCATACACACGCAAATGCATACTCACACAAGCGCACACACATGCATGACATATACGGTCGCGAGTGCGAGCACGCGCACACGCATGCACCCACGCACGCACACACGCACGCACGCACACACACACAAACACACACACACACACACACACACACACACACACACACGCGCGCACGCACACATGCACTCATACGTAAATGTACAAACATGTGTGCACACACTAGAATTCACGCGAAAACAAACAAATATATTCAAGAAACATATTGATAAACAGATATCGTTAAAGGTATGGTATCCCCTGGTGTGAAAAGCAGTGGCATGGTGAATGGGGTGTGCGGGGGAGCAGTGGGCCAGTGAATGGGGTGTGCGGGGGAGCAGTGGGCCAGTGAATGGGGTGTGCGGGGGAGCAGTGGGCCAGGCACATGTATCTGAGGTTTGTGAGGCGCTCCATCTCCTGGGGAATGGACCCTGTGATGTGGAAGTTGAGGCCCAGGCTCCTGCCATGGCATGGTATGACATCATCACAAGGCATGGCATGTGATGACACCACTACAAAGCATGGCATGGGATGACACCACTACAAAGCATGGCATGGGATGACACCACTACAAAGCACGGCACGGGATGACGCCATCGCATGTGATGATGCCATGGCATGGTGGTACGCAAGTGGATTAGATTCACACAGGCACTGCATTTTCAGGGATTAAGTGGCATGGTATGGCTCAACAAGACGATATGGTTGAGCATAGAAAGGCCTAAGAAAATGGATAGCATGACACAGCGAGGGGTAAAGGATGGATAGGGCTTCCAAAATGGAACACAGGAAAGCGGGCAAACGACGAGAGAAAGGAAAATGAAAGGGTAGGAAACCGCAAACAGGGAGGAGCAATGCTTTGTACAATTATTCCAAGCCAGTGAGCCGCGCAATTGCTCGTGGAATTTCCCCATCCAGATTGTTGGAATATAAGCGCCTGGTAAGTACAGTATGTATAGTTGGCATGCATACGTGATATAGCCTTGCCAGACAGTAAGATGCGTGCTTCCTGCGAACACGAAATACGTAACGAAATCACAAAAAAAACGAACCAAAAAAAAAAAAAAACTGTTTAGGACCCAGGCTTGCCTTTTGCACTCTGTTCCCCAAAATCACACAGAAAAACGTCTATGAAAGTAAGTGCGAATGAGCTAAACAGAAGGGTAGAGAAGAATACGATACCCATGATCCCTTGACATTGCACATCATGGCATAGTGGCACAGCACAGCGAATGCGGAATGGAAGAAAACCTGACATAGCATGGGGGGGGATAAGGGCTGCTGACAGAATCCTGAGTGCAGCAATGCCAGCAATGGCTGCTGGGATGGAGCCTGACAGCCAATTGTTAGTCAGATCCCTGACAAGCGCGCATATCAGGAAGGGGAGGGAGGGAGGAAGGGAGGGAGGGAGAGAGGGAGGGAGGGACGGACGGAGAGAGGGAGGGAGGGAGGAGGAGGGAGGGAGGGAGGGAGGGAGGGAGGGAGGTAGGGAGGGAGGGAGGGAGGGAGGGAGAAAGGGAGGGGGGGAGGGAGGGAGGGAGGGAGGGTGGGCAAAATGGGGAAACGTCATGCAAGGCAGTTGAGGTGGGGCACATTTGCTCGGCTGCAGTGCAGCACGAGCTGCAGTGAGCTGCAGTGAGCTGCGGTGAGCTCCTTGTGGCTGGGTGGACCATGCAGCAAACGCTGAAGCAATTGAAACAATGGGCGTGCGTGGACCAAGGCGTTGGCATGAGCAATGGGATGGCAAAGGGATGACGGCACAGCATCAGCATCAGCATGGCATTACATGGCATTACATGGCATGCTATTCCCAGCATACAGTTGTGTCAGGGTTGTGAGGTTCCACAGGGAATGAGGAATGGGGCCTGTTAAGTTCCGCCCAGTCACATTCCTGGTGCATGGCATGGCATGAGGGGGGGGAATGAGGGCGCGGCACGAGGGGGAGGGGACTTTTGAGTCGACTCAAAAGGGGGCATGGTGCGACGCGATGGAAAAGAGGGTACGTGGCATGAATGGACGAACAGAGAGCCAATCGTTGGTATGGCAGCGAGGGGCAGTGCATGGGTTTGTGCCATGGGGCGAGCAAGCACGCATGGGGACAGCAAGCACGCATGGGGACAGCAAGCACGCATGGGGACAGCAAGCACGCATGGGGACAGTCGACACTTTTCAAGATGCTTGTTCCAGGGCCAATCGAAGATAAATCAAATCTCCCAACAATCTAAAGGGAAGAAGGGGAAGTGGTAGGCAGGTGGGGGAGGGAGGGGAGCGGAAGGGCCAAGTGGGGGCCGGGGTGATTGGGAATGCAGGACGGACGCACATGGAAACAATGAAGCCAGCTGCATTGCAGCGCACGCCATGCACCCCGTCTCCCCCGCTGCCCCGGCCCTCCTAAGTGAACCCAGTATAGGCGGCATGCAGCACGCACAGGGAGACGATGAAGCCAGCCGCATTGCAGCGCACGCCCTCCACCTGCGCGCAGTCCCCCCCCTTGCTCCATCCGCGCAGCTGCGACCGCCACTGCCCCTGACACTCCGCCAGCACCGCCGCTGCGGGGACAGCCGTGGAAGGGGAGAGGAGGGCGTGTGCGTGGGGATGGGGAAGGATACGGATGGGAAAAGGGGAAGCATGCGGAGAGGGGAAGGGCATGCGGATGGGGACTGGGGAAACATGGCGGAGGGGGAACCAGCGCCCGAGGAAGGTCGGAGAAAAAAGCAGGCGGGGGGCAGGTGCGTGTTGGACGGGGGAGAAGGCGGAAAGCGCAAACCCAAACGAACGATGCAGCTGGGAATGAGAGGGAAACAGGCTGCGGAGGCGTGCCGCGAAACATGCCAGGCATTGCGGCTGGCGGGAGGACTAAAGGCAAGAAGCCCGCGTCGGGGAGAGTGACCGGACACTGACAATGATTGGCTAGTCTTCATCTGTCAAACTCTAGGAACAGGCGTGGAGCGCTGGACAGTGGCGCGCCGGACTGTGGTGCCACGCGCAGGATAGCGCCGGGCCGACTCGGACGCTCCGAGCCATAGCCTCAGGATGCAGCGGAAATGAAAGGTGAGCATCGACTAGTGTACTACGCCCTTGGCACGCACAGCTGTGCGCAGCGCAGGTCATTCTAGCGCGACGGACCTTGCGAGGGGTGGAGACCCGTAGCAGCCGCGGCCGTCGGAGAGAACACGCGGAGCGCGAGCCCGGCGAGGAGGACGGCGAGGCGATGCCGCTGTGGCGACCCCGCCATGACTTGGCTGCAACGGGAAGCTCGATTCATCCCGGCATTTTCACTCGGAGTTACCACAATGTACCCTAGCGAGCACCTCGGAAAATCCGTTCGCGAATTCGGGAGAAATGTCGCAAAACATCTGGCACATTCGACAAATTACTCGCAGGTCTTCCAATCAAGGAGCAGGGAGGTACAGGGTTACCCTAATCTGGCATCACAAGCTCGGGAGGAGCCAACGCCCGTGACGAAAGTCACTGACACCCTCGCGAATCAGACATGGCCTCGGCATGTGGCTGGCAGGTCGTTTCTAAGGGCGCGTGTGATCTATTTTCAAGTTGGGAAAAAAGGTCGACCTTTGTGTGGCTACCAGCTTCGCTAATGTCGTCAGGAAGCTTTGGCGAAGGCATGAGAATTTTGGGGTGCATAAGTTCGAATGTCAAATGTGAACTCAACTCGAATCACACGAGTGAACGTGCGGGTGCACATGAGGCGAGTGTATGTTGTTTTCAGCACGTACGAAGGACATCCAAAAATCGCGACCGCTTTGCGAAGGCCGCTGAGCTTCGTTGCGCATTGCGTTAACGTGTCGCGCTGTACCAGGTAACCTACTCCCCTACGGGCGGCTCGCCGCAATCCCTAAAAGGTCGAATCTCTGTGTTCGACCTTGGGTGTGTGATTGTGACTCGTCTGTGTTGGAGACCCAAGTTTCGAAGTTCGCTGGAAAGAAAGTCGAGTTTTGTTCAAATGCTACATTCGACCTAAAAACATAAACTTTCACAAATTTGTAAGACCATACGCGCCCTAATCAGGCATTTCTTCATATAACCAACCACCTAGATCAAGCATTGCTCTCGTGTGGCATTGCTCGCGTCGCGCGTCGTTCCTTCCTCAATCAGTGGCTCGCTCGCCTCACTCGCGTCGCGCATCGTTCCTTCCCCCGTGTCCGTCCACTCTCTCTCCCCTCGCCTTCTACCTGTTCGCACGTCATTCGCGACGCCGTAGCGAGATGGTGGCATGTTACAGCGTGATAACATGACGCGTTGCAAGCGTCTAGATCGAGTCCTGAGGAGATGGGGTAAGTACTTGTGAGGCGATCCGACTGTCTAGATTGTAGAAGGAGGCGGATGGCCAATTTGGACTCGTATGTAGCGTCGCAGACTGGATCGCGCCTCGTCATTCCGCCGCACGGCCGACGCTACGAGATCTCAACCGCTGACGTGTGCGCGACGACGGTACGACCGCAGCGCGACGACTGTGCGACGGTAGTGTGACGACGGTACGAGTGCGACGACGGCGGTGCGACGGCAGCGCAACGACGGTGCGACGATAGTGCGACGGTGCGACGGTAGTACGACGACGGGGCGACAGTAGTACGACGACGGTAGTGCCACGTGGGCTGCACTGACGGGAGTCACCGAAATCCCAAGCCGTCCTACCCAGTGCATTCTCCCCTACCCTCGCTCCATGCTCCACCGCACTCTACCGCACTCTAATTGCTCTCCTCCTCTCCATCATCCCCGCTGCTCTCCAGACAGTTACGAGCGCCCGCTCTCCCGCCGCACCTGCCGCGCTCGCAGCCACAGCCCAAGAGGATACAGTCACTCTGGTTACAGTCACAATCACAATCAGCATCGCTGTGACCAACGTCTGCTGCTCGGAGTGCTCCTTCTCGCGTTCCTCTCCTTGCGGCATGCCGTGGCTCGAGGTGTGTGTGCCTGTAGCACGATTGGTGTGTGTGACTGTAACGCAGTTACTGTAGCGCGATGTGGATCTTGATTTTATGTGTGGATCACTGTGTCATGCATCACCATGATCACTCACTCTGCCGCCCATCTCTGCACCTGTTGTCCACATCCCCTCTATGCGTCCCATCCCATCCCATCCGTGCTCCTCCTCGTGCCTGCCATCGTATCGCCCGCCTGTGCCACATGCAGAGGAGGGTCAGCAGGGACAGGACGCTCAGGAGGAGGGCAAGGGGCGGCACGAGGCCCTGTTGGGTCGCGTGCAGCAGTTCGAGCGATCGCTCGCCGATCAGCTGTGCTCTCTCTCTCTCTCTCTCTCTCTCTCTCTCTCTCTCTCTCTCTCTCTCTCTCTCTCTCTCTCTCTCTCTCTCTCTCTCTCTCTTTCGCCACGCATCCCTCTCGCTTCTGTCTTTATCTCTCTCGTACCCCTCCTCTTCCCTTTCTATTCCCTGCGAACCTCTTCATTCCTCCTCCAACCCTACCCCTGCTCCTTTCCATTCTTCTGGGAGCATTACACATGTGCATATATCTGCCTCCCATCTCTGTTTCCTGGCCGGTTTGCCAGTTTCTTTGTTATTGTCTCGCACCAAAAACTACTGCTATCCTCTCTGATTCGTTCTGCCCCTTGCCCCTTCATTGTCGCATCCTTCCATCCCGCCGCCCTGCACTGTGGCTATGGCTGAGGAGGAAGCAGAGTCACGCTCATACATGCCCCAAATCCTCTACCCGCCCTTCTTTTCTGCTCCCCTCGCCTGCCATTCCCTCCCCTGCCCTCCCTTTCCTCCCCTGCCCTCCCTTCCCTCCCTTCCCCTCCCCTTCCCATTCCTTCCCTGTCCCCCTCTCTCCTACCCTGCGCTGCCCTCTCATTCCCTCCCATCCCGTCCCCTCCCCTGCCTTGCCTCCCTTGCCATCCCTCGCCCCCAGCCACATGGAGCGGCGGGACTTACTAAGAAAATCAGCAGCGCCGTTCAACCGCACCCTCCACACGGCCGCCCTGCCCTCCATAATGCTCGACTACTACGAGCTCCAACCCCACCTCGGCCCGCGCCTGCGGTGCCGCGGCCCGCCCTGCCCCAAGTTCGGCCACTGCGGATCCGCCTTTCCCCACGTACAAGCCTGCTGGAACGAGCACCTGATAGATCCGCGCCCGCTGTTCCCTGCGGACCCACTCAACTGCCCCCGGCTTCAACCCGTGGAGGACGTGGGGCGGCTGCGGCGGCCGTGGTACTTCATTGACTCGCAGTGCTCGCACCGCGTGGACGTGAATGCGTGGGATGCTACAGCCATGCAGGTGTGTTGTGTTCAAGATGAGGGTGTGTTTTGTACTCCGCGTTTGGGGGATTTTTTTAGTCGACTCAAAAACCGCTGTTGTTCTTCTGCTAAACCCGAAACTACACGACTGCTGCTGCTCTCTGAGAACAATGACTGAGCGATGCCATGCCATGCGGCCATGCAGGTGTTCAAGATGAAGGATGTGTACTCAGCGTTCGGCGGATACGTGTTCAACTTGACGCATCGCTTCAACCGCAACGGCTGCAAGCGCTTCCTCAAGGTGCCGCGCTGTGCTGTGTTGTGTTGTGTGCATACTTGCCTTCTTTCTTCCTTGATTGTTCCGTGCCGGCTGTACCATCATTCGTGCACCTCTAGAGCTCACTCCATGTGCTTCCCAGGCAATGCTCAGTGAGGAAGCCACCAGCCAGGCAACTCGACCTCCGTTGAACCCCTCTCACTCCATCCTTCCCTCAAATTCCCCCGCCCCATACCTCGACGTTGCTTCTCCCATTGTTTGCGCTTTGCAATGCTACCTTCGCCGCACACCTCACCAAGCGTGCGGCATCCGAACAAGGTCACAAACAGACCTGCCCGGCAGCCTTCCCTCGTCTCCTCTTCACACCTCTATCTTCTTGTTATAGACAAAAAAAAAAACTCTTATCCCGAAAATCCTGTGTCCCATCTTGACTCTCCCTCCCAGACCACCTTTGAGGCGCCTCAAAAGTCATCTTGACTCTCCCTCCCAGACCACCTTTGAGGCGCCTCAAAAGTCATCTTGACTCTCCCTCCCAGACCACCTTTGAGGCGCCTCAAAAGTCATCTTGACTCTCCCTCCCAGACCACCTTTGAGGCGCCTCAAAAGTCATCTTGACTCTCCCTCCCAGACCACCTTTGAGGCGCCTCAAAAGTCATCTTGACTCTCCCTCCCAGACCATCTTTGAGGCGCCTCAAAAGTCATCTTGACTCTCCCTCCCAGACCACCTTTGAGGCGCCTCAAAAGTCATCTTGACTCTCCCTCCCAGACCACCTTTGAGGCGCCTCAAAAGTCATCTTGACTCTCCCTCCCAGACCACCTTCACCACCCCAGCCTGCACGCTACTCAAAGGACATGCTCCACTCCACTGCCTTCACTGTATCTCCCCCTGCGTTCCTTCCAGGCGTGTGCCCATGAGGGGGAGGGGAGCGGTTCACTGGGTCTACCAGCAGGCCGGCAGCCACCCTTAACCTCTCCACTTCGCCGTGTTGCATTCCTACATTGCTGCTCCCTTTATTGCCACGTCCCTGTGTTTATCCCAGGCAACATGGCAGTGTACCACTTGTGGGAAGTGTTGAACTGGGACTATCGCCAGGCAGGCAACTTCGACCCCTTCATCATCGAATTGAAGCCATACCGATGCTTTACATCCCTGTGTGCTTTGCTCCCCACAGGCGACACTCACCCCCAACATGACGGTGTACCATCTAAAGGAGGTGTTCAACTGGGACTACCGCCAGGCAGGGAACTTCTACCACTTCATCATCGAAGCCGTCCCGCTGCTCTATGCCGCTGCTCGCCTGCTGCCCTCGCTGCTGCCCGACGTCCCCATTGCCGCCAAGGGCGACCAAGTAAGCGCGCCTTTTATTGCCGACCAGGTAACACCCGCCGTCTTCCTGCCTCCCGTTTCTCTTTTTAGCTGTTCTGCTTTGCCTCCCGCCTCCTACTTTCGCTGCCCGACATCCCCATCGCCGCCTCTTTCATCCTCCTTGGCCCCTCCTTCCATTTCCCCCTGCCCCGCCCACGTCCCAGTGGGAGGTGTACGACCAGATAGGGCTGCCCATAGTGGGCATGCCGTGAATGGGCGCTGTCTTATGCCATTGCACTGCCCTCTCTCCCCTCCCTCTCACCCCCCTTCGACCCTCCCCCTCACCCCCCTTCTACCCTCCCCCTCACCCCCCTTCTACCCTCCCCTCCCCCTGACCCCACGTCCCACCCAGTGGGAGGTGTACGACCAGATCGGGCTGCCC